TGGTACTATTTTAAAAAAATCAATGCTGATATTGTTTTATACTTGAAAAATACACAAGTTCAATAGATGAAAAATCCGTTCTATCTCGTAAAGCATATTTTCAAACATGGTCACTTACTTCTTTATTAGAGGTGAGTGTAATTGAACTTTTTATGAAAATATCCAATATAAGACTTCCTCAAACAATATTTCTCACAATGATCGACCACAACAATCATATTGGTTATAGTAAAGTAAAAATTATGTGTGTAATGCACGCTTTCGATTGGTGCGCAAATCCTAACAATGAAAGATTTTTGTAAGCACCCCAGCATCGTCCTAACAAACTTGAAAAAACATATAATTATTGGGATTACATGGATGCATGAGAATATGCGTTTCTTTATCAAAATAAAATAAGGAAACATTCCTGATTTTTCTTCTTTTCTTTGCAGAACAATTACAATGTTAAAGATTTTTATAATTGGTGAACAAGACAAGGACCAACTCTCAATATTTGATTGATTGTCTTGTTTCCCGTTCTGATAATTTAAAAAAAAACCAATCCTCATTTGAGAAATTTTGAAGGAGAAATACTCCTTAATTCCGTTGCCAAATTCAGAATTCCCTAGGTTTGCGCATTGAATTATGATTGTAATTACAATTCTTAGAATCTTTCATATTTAATCCAATGTTGTTGTTATAAATAATGGAAAAACCTTCCAAAACATAAATTGGAGTAAACTGTCAAATCATCGACTTTGCTTTTGAAAATTGGGATAATAAATCCCAACACGAAACCAATTTAAATCCTACTCGGGATCTTTCTAGGGTTCTTCAACTGCAAATCAAGAAATTAAATTCAGCTTTGACTCCAAAACAGCTGCAGAGTCATATGATGGAAATGATGTAAAATCAATTAATGGCAGCTTTTAATGGGGGTAATAAGCCTCAAATTTCCCAAATCACTGGACCTCAATCTCACTCCTCCTCATCTAAGGAAAGGCAATCAAACAAGATGATTCTCAGGATCCAATGAATTTTAATGAAAATGAAGACATGGAATTGCATCTTGGTGCATTCCAAAATTTAGAAGATTTGGATTTAAAAATGTTTGATTTAATAGACATTAATCAAATGAATGATGGCAAAAAGAAGAAATAATTAATGGGCATTCTCGGTTATAATTGAAGATGACGTCAACCATAGCGTTTCTCCCATTATTGCAAATTCCAAAATTACGTCACCTATGACATCACTAGTGATGTTATTATACATGGCATCTTTTGTTTTTTAATTTTTGAAATTCGATTTCATGTTCAAGACTCTGTCCCTCACCCTTGTTGAGGAAGAACCTTTTTTTTCAGTCTTTCTCTGTTTTTTAAAGCTTTCCTCTCCTATCACTATTGTAAGTTTGAGTGTCTTTGTATATATAACTTGAAGTGCTCATTATGTAAATCTCCTCTTGAAATGAAACTTTTGAGAACTTGAATTGAAAATGATTTTTTTTCCTCTATTTAAAGTAGAAGACATGAATCTATGATTAACCCAAAACACCATGTAGGATTCTCTAAACTGTTGAATTTGTCATCCAACTTACAACTTCAAATGCTTTGGAGGGAATTGTAAAATGTTCACTTTCCCACAAATTCCCAATGTTTTAAGTACATCATGTATATATCTAATGTTTATGTGTTATATGCAAGTGATGTTATATTATCAATATATCATTATTAGGAGATATTGATAATTTGTTGATCTTTGATTCTACCACAAAATGTGTTAATGAAACTACGAGGTTCTTAACACAAACATTTGATATTAGAGACTTAGGACCTGTGGACATCATTTTTTTCTTTTTGGGAGGAGGAAGGAGAAGGGGGACTTAAACCCTTGACCTTAAGAAAGCAAAACATTCACAAGGCAATTAGAACAAAGGCCCGTTAGTAACAAAAAGTTGTGAAAATAAAGAAGTGCGCATCCAGGGAATCGAACCCCGATTAGTACCGTGGGAGAGTACTATGAACATCATTTTAGGGATTAAGGTAATTAAGAATAATGGAGGCTTTACATTAACCCAATCACACTATATGGGGAAGGTGTTAAGAAAATATAATCATTTTGATTGTAAGCCTAGTCAAACATCTTTAAATCCTAATAGTAAACTTGTACCTAATGAAGAAGTACCAACAAAGCAAGAAGAATATGTAAAGATTATAGGAAGTTTGATGTATGTTATGAATAACATAAGACCCGATATTGCTTGTGCTATAGGAATACTGAGCATATTTACAAGTAATCTTACTTCTAAACATTGGAGAAAATTAAGTTGAGTTTTAACATATTTGAAATACTTTTTTTTTTGTAGGAGTAAGGGGAAGGAGGCTTGAACCCTTGACGTCAAGAAGGAAAAGCCTTCATAAGGTAAGGAGTACCATTAGACCAAAGGTTCATTGGTGAAGATATTTGAAATACACTATGAGTTATGAATTACATATCATTGTATAAATTATGTTCTTGAATGCTATAGCTGCTAATTGGGTATCCGACAGATTAAACAATAAATCAACTAGTAGTTGGTTATTCACTTTAAGTGATGCTATTGTAGCTTGGTCTTCTAGGAAACAATCTTATATTGCATTATCATCCATGGAATCTGAATATGTTGCTATGTCATTAGCCAGTAGAAAAATTATATAGATAAAAAATTTTATGAAATGCATTAATTTTATTCATATTACTAGAGGAACAATTACTTTGTATTGCAATATCAAGCAACGATTCACAATATTAAGAATAAGAGGATATCAAGTAATAGCAAGCACATTGCTATGAAATACAAATTATACAATCATATTTGAAAGCTTGTGAAAAAAGGTAAAGCTACACTTGAATACTTACATACTAATCAAACGAAAGCGAATCCGTTAACAAAAAGTGGTAAGATGATTAGTAAAACCATGTGAGGTATAAGACTATTATCGATTCAATAGAGATAGTATTGACTGCAGCCCACTTTAAGAAGTTAATGTCAACATGTTTTGGAAAATTTTTTCATTAAAGTTTAAAGGAATTTAGTTAAGTATTATCCATGAAATATAGTCGTGAGGTTGCATTTTCAATATATTGCTTATTTTATGAATAGTGGGGGTAAGCCAATTTTGATTAAAGTCACATCTGGTTAATGCATTATTTATTCCTCAACCAGGAGGTTAGACTTTGTCCTTAACAGAACTCATAGCTTAGAGTGGGGCGATAGTGCAGTTGTGGANCAATTTTGATTAAAGTCACATCTGGTTAATGCATTATTTATTCCACAACCAGGAGGTTGGACTTTGTCCTTAACAGAACTCATAGCTTAGAGTGGGGCGATAGTGCAGTTGTGGAACGTCTTTGATGAGTCTATCTTTGTAAGGATGGAAGTTAGAGCCGTTTCCTACGGGTTTTTGGTAAAATCCTAAGATTACTTGCTAAGCAAGATCAACGCATGGCCATTTACGCGATGCCTTAAGACTTAGTTCTCTTGGTCATTTCCAACTAAGGGCATGCATTNACGGATGGAAGTTAGAGCCGTTTCCTACGGGTTTTTGGTAAAATCCTAAGATTACTTGCTAAGCAGGATCAACGCATGGCCATTTACGCGATGCCTTAAGACTTAGTTCTCTTGGTCATTTCCAACTAAGGGCATGCATTATAATGTAAACGAACATTTTTTTTATTATATCATTTTTAGCAAAAAAGTGAGAGATTGTTATATATATATAATTACTAACAATGATATATTAATATGTGACATCATTTGCATATAATACTTAAACATTACATACATATATACATGTATATATAAAGTACTTGAACATTGGGAATTGATGAGAAAGGGAATCTTTNCGAACATTTTTTTTATTATATCATTTTTAGTAAAAAAGTGAGAGATTGTTATATATATCCATAATATATATATATATATATATAATTACTAACAATGATATATTAATATGTGACATCATTTGCATATAATACTTAAACATTACATACATGTATATATAAAGTACTTGAACATTGGGAATTGATGAGAAAGGGAATCTTTCACAATTCCCTTCAAAATATTTGAAGTTGTAAGTTAGAGAGCAAATTCAAGAGTTTGGAGAACCTCACATGGTATCTTGGGTTCATTATAGATTCATTTTTTCTCAAATAAATAAAGAAAAAGTTTCATTCTCAACTCAATCTCTCAAAAGAATACTCTCAAGAAGAGGCCTACATAATGAGAACTACAAGTTATAATTATATATATTAAGGGAGGAAGCAGTTGGATAAGAAGTTGAGTCAGTCCAAATGCAACTATCCCGTCTGAACACGCCTCGCTCCCAATAATTTGGCAAAAACTCAGTATTGCAGATATTGGAAGTTGGGTCCGTTCGGATGCAATGAATCCGTTCAGACGCACCAGTTAGTATTTAAATTTGCAGTTGGAGTTTTTCTCTAATATCTACAAAAGTTACAAACTTTCAAGTGGTGTCTTCTGTCATTGAACTGAAGGGACTTCATGAAGTGATGTATATTCAATTGCAATGTTGATTGTATTAAGCCATTTGCACTCTTCTTATTCTCTCTCATTCTAAACTTCTGTATTTTCTGATTTCCTATATTTGGGTTGAGTTTTGATTTCAAGATTACTAAGAAGTGCAATCTTAGATAATCTTAAAGTTAGGCTATTTCGAATATCGCTTCTGGCGTGTTTTGTCTAGCAACCCTATCTTCTTTATTTCATTACTGTTTTCTACTTGAAAGGGAATAAACTTCATGCCAGACAACGGAACTTGAATGTAAGTTGCCCAAAATAATTCTCATGATATGGACGGCATGAAAAAAAATATTTTATTTCCTCCGAGGACAGATATGTTGATGTAGTGCTCATAGATTACTTTAAAGGATGAAGCTTAATAAGTATATTAATTTGTATAAACAGTTCTGTAAGAACGTCATAGAGATAACACTACTGACTTGAATAAAGATGGGTAGGAACCTACTTCAAACACAGTATTATTGATGCTCCAAAAGCATTACTCTAAGACCAAGAGATGATAAACAATCAAACACACAGAAATATAAGGATACAAAAAGTAGGGAGAGAAATTGACCAGTTGCATCTCACACTGACGCTTGTAATACTGCAATTTTTCCGATAAACATCTGATCTCCTCCTCCAACTCATGAACACGAATCTCCGCCTCCTTCGCACGCTCATCAGCCTCATTCCCAAATTCCATCAAAGCCTCTCGATCACGATCATAGAGCGAGCACTCCCTCTCCCACTTCTTACATTGATCCAAGAGATTCGAACACTCCATCGCCAATTTCTGATTCTCGTCCACAAATTTCTTCAACACTTGCGCATTCATACTCGATTCAGTCTGAATTTTTAAATGTTCAACAAAAAATTAACCAAAACATACAAAACCCTAAAAGATATTGAGGGGTTTGGGCGAAAACTTAATTAAATTAGGGGTTGATGGCGAATTACGAACCCTCACGCGTTCGATGATTTCTTCTTTATCCTTTAATCTGGCTTGCAAATACAATAACTGATTGACTAGACGCTTTTGGGCTTCTTCGGAGGCGCGAAGCTTTAACTCGAGTGTGTGTGTAGAAACTGGAAGGCCAAGCGAGTACTCGATGGTTTCTCGCAAATAATCGTCTATTCCTTGAGAAAGATCCATGCTGGATCCAAAAAATACCTAGGTTTTACTGTAAACTTCAATTTCTCAAGAATCTTTGAGAGAGAGAGAGAGAGGCGAAACGAGGGTTTTGGGTCAGAATATTTCTCCGTTTTACTGAGATTTCAAATTAGGAATCGGGAGGACTAGCCGTTAGGCGGTGTAAAAGCGGTTCGTATAAAAGGAGAGGGAATCAGGTGCTATTGAATGAGATGGGAATTTTTTTTTTTTATCAGAATGAGATGACAAATTCAAATTGTGGTATTGAGAGCACATATTGCGGTGATCATAGCAATTTAAGGCAACCAAAGTTAAACCCACACAAGTAGTCTAGTGTTACCCCTTAGTCATCGGCAGTATTTGACATTGGGTAACCTCACCCATAAACACCTACGTTTTAGCCAAAATGGCAAAAATCTCATACATGATTGAGGGAGACAGTCCATACATATGGGCACGTGGACACAAGTCANCTTCAAACACAGTATTATTGATGCTCCAAAAGCATTACTCTAAGACCAAGAGATGATAAACAATCAAACACACAGAAATATAAGGATACAAAAAGTAGGGAGAGAAATTGACCAGTTGCATCTCACACTGACGCTTGTAATACTGCAATTTTTCCGATAAACATCTGATCTCCTCCTCCAACTCATGAACACGAANAACGGGCGGCTTGAATTGTGGGACAATGCTAACTTGAATAATGAATCATGGGTTGGGCCATGGTTAGGCACGAATGTAATGTAATTCGGATGCTGAGAGCTCTTGACACATGCACAACATGTGAGGAAATTGGGCATGTGCTCTGCAGATGGTGATAATTCTGGACAGTTTTCTGTCAAGTGCATTGCATGTGGGATCTCTGTCAAATTCAAACAAACATGCAGACACCAGTTATAACTTCTTTGTCATCCAATCATAGCAGACCTCTGGTAGCATTTGAATTACAGACATGTGCCTAGGCAATTGGGCTTGTAACTGTCACCTTGAATATTATAAATAGGGTGCTTGGAGACTGTAGTGCAACAAGAGAGCTAGCACGTTTTTGTAAACAGACCCCAAGGTTGAGTTCCTTATACTTTATTGAGAAAGAAATGTTTGGTTGTTGCCTGTAAATTATGTGTCTTGCATGTGTGTTTACCTACTGTCCATTCTCTATTCTATGTGCATTTTGTGTGCATTCTGAGTGTTTGACTGAGACTAAGTGTTAGATCTTAGTGCCATCACGAGTCAAAAATTTGGTGAGAAATTTAACCCCGTGACAATTGGTTTCAGAGCTTCAGTTTGCGACCATGACTGATGGAAATGCTGTTGAATTGCAAGAACGTATTACTCGTCTCGAAGATTTTCTGGGTGCCCCTCAGACAGATGGTGCAACCAGCGTGGCTGTGTAGATGGAACAGCACGCTATTCAGATTGCGGGATTACAAATGGCTTTTGATAGTTATGTGTCTGACATCGATGCAAAGATTGTAACAATGATGGAGGATATCATGTCTCTCACAAACGCTGTCAAAACAAATTTGAAGGATCTTGAAGATGAAGTGTCCCTGGTGAAGAGGGCCATGAATTCTCATACTACTGTGGGCGAGACATCTTCAAAGATTAAAATCCTTGAACCAAAGGCCTTCGGAGGCACTCGGAGCGCTAAAAATCTGGAGAATTTCCTCTAGGCCATGGAGCAGTACTTTAAGGCAACCCATGTGCCTGATGGAGAGAAAGTAACAATCACCGGTATGTATTTATTTGGTGATGCCAAATTATGGTGGAGGATTCGGAATGTGGACGATGCCTCTGCTGGTCGTCCAAAGATCGAGACATGGGAGACCCTGAAAAAGGAATTGAAGGATCAATTCCTCCCTAACAATGCAACTTGGATTGCTAGAGACTTACTCAAAAAGTTGAAGCACACCAGAACAGTTCATGATTACGTGAAGGAGTTTAGTTCATTGATATTGGACATCAAGAACATGTCAGAGGAAGACAAACTCTTCAACTTTATATCTGAACTGCAGGGTTGGGCACAAGTTGAACTGCGAAGGCAGGGGGTACGTGATTTGTCCACTGCCATTTCTACAGCAGATGGCCTTGTTGACTTCAAAATGGGCGACAGCCAAGGCCCTCTTGAGAAAAAGAAAAAGGATGGTGGCAGCAGGAAAGATAAGGCTGACACTTTCAAAGACGCAAAAAAAGCGAATTGGAAGAAAAAGAAGAACGTTGCTGACTTTAATAAGCTAGACAACAACTAGAAGAAGAAAACTTTTGATTCTGGTTGTTTTCTTTGTGGCGGCCCCCATCGTGTCAAAGACTGCCCCAAGAGGAAGAAGTTAAATGCCCTTGTTTCTACAAGTGAGAATGACAGTGATGATGACTGTCTTACCCGAGTCAACCCTCTCCAGTTGTTGAACGCAATTACCGTGGGTAAAGTTCAGTAACCCCGCAAAGGCCTCATGTTTGTTCAGGCCTGGGTGAATGGTAAGGAAGTTCAGACCATGGTGGATACTGGAGCCACCCATAACTTTGTTGTCCAGAGAGAGGTGGGAAAGTTTGGCCTGAAATTGTCAGAGAATTCAAGCAAATTTAAGGCAGTAAATTCTAAAGTAATGCCAATACGTGGTACAACAGAAATACGCTTAAAGGTGGATATGTGAGAAGGCCAAATGAGTTTGATAGTTGTGCCCTTGGTGACTTTGATGTCATCCTAGAGAATGAATTCTTTGTTACAGCGAAAGTGACACTGATGCTGCATCTGAACGGAGTGCTGATCACGGATGAGAAAGCACCCTGCTTTGTGCCTGCAATCATGGCAGACCAAAGCAAGAAAGATGGAAAATGGATGGTGGGAATGATATTTGCTATGCAAGTAAATGCTGGGTTGAAGAAAGGCAAGATGACATACCTCGCAGCCTTGGTGGATATCAAACCAGATGTGTTGGTTGAAGTACCTGATACTGTGGTAGATGTACTGATCGAATTTGCTGATGTTATGCCTCCTGAACTCCTCAAGAATTTTCTACCCAGACGTGCAATTGACCACAAGATAGAATTGGAGCCTGGTGCAAAGCCTCCAGCCCGTGCCCCTTACTGGATGTCGCCAATGGAACTGGCAGAATTGAGGAAGCAATTGAACGAATTGCTAGATTCTGGCAGCATGAAGCCATCCAAGGCGCCATACGGAGGCCCTGTTCTGTTCCAGAAGAAGCAAGATGAATCATTGCGTATGTGCATCGATTATCGTGCCTTAAACAAGGTGACTATCAAGAACAAGTACCCTGTTCCGAATGTTGTTGATCTGTTTGATAGATTGTCCAAGGCCACTTTCTACACAAAGTTGGGTCTTAGGACTGGGTATTGACAGGTTAGAATTACAGAAGGGGATGAGTCAAAGACTGCGTGTGTGACGCGTTATGATTCTTTTGAATTTCTTGTAATGCCGTTTGGGCTTACTAATGCCCCGACAACTTTCTGTAATCTAATGAATGATGTTTTTTACGATTACATAGATGTCTTTGTGATTGTTTACTTAGATGACATTGTAATCTATAGTGAAACGCTGGAGGATCACATAAATCATTTGAGGGTTGTGTTCTCACGGCTTAGGGAACACCAGTTGTATGTCAAAAAGGAAAAATGTGAGTTCTGTTGCCAAGAAGTGATGTTCTTGGGACATTACATTAGCCAGGGTAAAATCCGGATGGATGAGAGGAAAGTGAAGGCAATTGTTGATTGGCCTGCACCAACCAAGGTGTCTAAACTGAGGTCGTTTCTTGGCCTNGGATGGATGAGAGGAAAGTGAAGGCAATTGTTGATTGGCCTGCACCAACCAAGGTGTCTAAACTGAGGTCGTTTCTTGGCCTAGCCAATTATTACCGCAAGTTCATTGAAGGATATTCAAAGAAGTGCAATGTAATGACTGACTTGCTGAAGAAAGACCAAAAGTGGGATTGAAATGATGCCTGTCAGACAGCTTTTGAGAAGCTGAAGCATGCAGTATCCTTTGCACCTGTACTGAGATTGATGGACTTTGATCTGTCTTTCGAAGTGCACACTGATGCCTTTGACCGCGCCATTGGAGGAGTCCTTGTTCAGGATGGACACCCTGTTGCTTTTGAAAGTCAAAAATTGAAAGATGTTGAGCAGTGATATTCGGCACATGAGAAGGAAATGATTGCTGTGGTGCATTGCCCTTGAAATCTGGAGGCACTACTTGCAAGGAACGAAATTCACTGTTGTGACAGATAATGTGGCAAACACTTATTTCAAGACCCAGCAGAAGTTGACCCCGAAGCAGGCCCGATGGTAGGAATTTCTTGCTGAGTTCGATTTTGTATGGGTACACAGACCCGGGAGGCAAAATCAAGTTGTTGATGCGTTGAGTAAGAAGGAGGTCCAAGAATATGTTGATGCAATGTCCAGTGTGCAGACCGACTTCCTGGTAAGAGTCAAAGAACGTGCCCAAACTGATGTTGCTTACGAAAAATTGAATCAGCAAGTTGGCGAAGGTCTGGTGCATAGATACTGGATTGATGATGATTTGCTCTATGCTAAAGGGGGTAAACTCTATGTTCCTACGGGAGGGGAACTACGACTGGAGTTGCTGTGTGAGACACACGACTCTCAATAGGCTGGACATCCAGGAGTAGAAATGATGCATGCATTACTGGCTCGTTCCTATTACTGGGCCAAGATGGAAGACGATGTTGAAGCCTATGTCAGAACCTATCTAGTGTGTCAACTTGACAAGGTTGAGAATAAGAAGGCAACAGGCTTGCTACAACCCCTGCCCATTCCTGACAAACCGTGGCAGTCAGCCTCGATGGATTTCATTTGCAATCTACCAAAGGTTGATGACATGCGTTCGATCATAGTGGTGGTCGATCGTTTTTCTAAGTATGCGGTGTTCATTCCTGCACCTCATGCTTGCCTTGCAGATGTTGCAAATGTTCTACAAGTATGTGGTGAAGTATTTTGGATTGCCTAAAGATATAGTCAGTGATCGTGATACCAGGTTCACTGGTAGATTTTGGACGAAGCTGTTCAATCTTATGGGTTATGAGTTGAAGTTCTCTACCGCAAGTCATCCCCAGACTGATGGACAGACTGAGCGGATTAATGCCTTGTTGGTGGACTACCTGCGACACTATGTCACTGCAAGTCAGAAAAATTAGGTAGAGCTTATGGACACTACCCAGTTTTGCTACAATTTGC